TGAATTTTCGCAACTGTGTCAACTGATTTCCCTCTTCTCCCTTAAATTCTACACCTGAATTCTGAGTAGCGTTACTCACGTGATGACACCACGGAATATGGCCTATACTACGAAGGCAACGGTGGTCAAGCACCTCATGTCTTCCACCTTCAGTGGCCATGTTTCACACCCGTAAAGTGAAGATTCATAACCTCGTCAACTGATTTACGTTTACTCCCTAAAATTATACCTGAATTCTGCATTACTCAGGTGATGAAATCTTTTCAGTCAAAATTATATCCAGATCCACCCATGTTTTTGATGATGTAGTAAAAGGTTTCAATAATTATTTCTGTACGAGTATTACGGAAGTCGATGCTTAGTATGCTCACCTACATATACTCTTAGCTTATTGATAGGTAGTCAAAAAGTACACTGAGTTGAATGTTACACTTTTTCGAGAAGTTTCATCGACCTGAAAAAGTTAATTACTGATGAAGTCTCACGTCAGATTCAATAGGCTCGTTCAGTAGTTGCCGGTGAAATATCGGACCACTTTTTATAGGATGAGTATAAAGCACTTCAGCCTTTTCTGCCCTACTATACAATTGTGACACATGATCTTTAAAAGTAGATGTGTAAACATTACACGTTTTTGACCACAAACGTCTTCGTATGGTGTAATCTCTGTGTGAGCAATGTCGAAGTTGGTGACTGTATGATTGATGTAGAGTACTAAGCAATGAAGTTAAGGCGATCAGTGAAGTTTCTCACATTCAAGCACTACCTGCCTCTGTGTGCGATATTAACCAAAGTAGGATTTGCTTAGAAGAAAGGTTAGAGTGAATAGACAAAGATGTTCTCTTACAACTGGCCATGCAGGTTGCCTGGCTGATCTCAAAATGTTTGACAATAGTGTTTGTGGAATATGGCTCAAAACAGATGACAATGGTGCATACATGCACACTCTTTATCATCTCAAAGTCTTAAATTTTTCCATTCATCTTCATCTGTTTGTTTTCCTTCCTGTCATACATTATTTTGATGCCGTAATATAATTCTTTTTCTGTCCACTTCTTTGTATGATACTGCGAAGTATGGTAACTTGAACTATCACTCAGTAATAGTGACATTAATTTTGACTTGATATGGAGGTAGAAATACATATCAATTATATTAATCTTGAACAGCCTGAATAGTAAACAACATAGCTATGGTTGTGCGTAAGAGGTAAGAGGATTCACAGAGAAAGAGATACCAGTTTATTAAGTAACTCACTTTTGATCTGAGCTATATGGGAAAGTGAAGACTATTTGGCTAACTTACCCTAAGACTATGAGAACTAATGATTGGAGTTTGTCCGATGAAAATGTTCGAGGCTGATAGCAGTGAGTTAGACACATTTAAGCTTTACTATATATATGCACAACAGACTTCTGGACCAACTTGTAGCCAATGCAGATATTCAGCTTTAGACTGAAGGTCATAATTACTTATCCTATGGTTCCACCACAGGGTGAGTTAATTCTTGAGAGCAGTAGGTTTCAAAAGCCTTTAATTCCTGTTTCCTTTCTATTGGACACCGGTCCACTACCTACCTCAAAGTGGAATTCTAGAGGATCTGGAATAGGATGGAAGAGGGTTCTGGGTGACCAAACTAAAACGTAGTACAAGTTGATGAAGTCTCTGACTGTTGGTCTGAGTCATGTAAGGAGATGTAGCCTGCCTCGTTGAGGTTCTTGAGACAAAACGAATCAGTGGTTGAGGACTCTTAGTGACATGGCTGAAAATCTGTCACATATATATTCACTCTTTGAAGTCTTCTATTCACACTAAGTTTTATCTTCAGATTGTTCATCTTCTCACATAACATCCTTTTCTATCCACCTGTTCTTTGTGTACGGGTGTAGAGTGCAGCAAGTTGAAATGATACACTCGTGTACAAGGTTTTACGTTGGTTTTTCAGTTCAGTTCAGTTTCTGTTTAGGTTCGATGTATCCTTCAAGCAAATATGTAGCAAAAATAATCCTAGAGTTATGCTTATTCTAACCATTTTGAATCTTGTATAGAGAGTTTTAAATACCATCATATATTTTGGTTTACTTCTCATAGATACAGTTCTGAGTACTGTATGACGACCGATTAGTACAAATCAGTTGATTGACTTATTACTTGCTATTGTGAAATTATCCCAACTAAAATTTGTTTTAACATTTTCCAAACTCATGAACCACACCTAGTAAATGCGAAATGTGTCGAAAATTCATTACACTTGTTAAAATGGACTTTTTTTCCTGAGAATATTTACACATAACCCTATAACCAGGTTTCCTGGGTTAATGATAAATCGTGCCTAGCAGTGGAACCTAGGATATGCATTTCATTCTATTTGGGACTCATCAGCTGGATGTACCTGCTTCCCAGTGAGTGATGTTGTTTCCACCGAGATTCGGACTTTGGAGCGATCGCTTCTAACACCAACTCGTTATCCACTACACACTGAGAAACGATAGTCACTTCTTGTGCGACGGGTATAGTTTTAGTATAATTGTTTTTATATCATATGCAGGCAATATCGAGGCATCCACACAGGAGCCCATATGCCAATAGAGACCTATCAATTTGGTCCAATCAATGACGGTATGATATAAAAACAATTATACTAGGTTTCCTGGGTTGTTAGTACTCATCAGGAAGTAGTACAAAAAAGATTGAATAAAGCTTATGCTTTATTGACATGTATATTGAAAATATTCAACATCGCTAGTTAAAATGGTGCTCAGGACGGTTAGACCATGATGCATGTAAACCCATGAAGCCGTTGACTATTGATCTGAGCCAATATAAGTAGGTGTAGACTATTTGGTTGCAGTTCTTGAGACTATATGAATCAGTAGTTGGAGATCCTTGATGATATGGATGAAGATCTGTCAAAATGCCGTAAATGTATTCATTCTCTGACGTCATAGAAAACGTGAACATTTTTACTAACTTTGATTTTTAAAATTCTTTCTCATAACATACACCTGTCTACTTTGATACAATTTATTCTATTGGAAATTCCCAGAATTGTATACTTAAAACATTGTTTATGAATCTGAAATTTTTTAGAATGCCACTTACGCATCATCTTTACAGCATGACCAGAGGCTCATCCTCCCGTTCCCATTTTCTGGGTAATTCGATGATTGTATTTGGGGGTTTGTGAGAAATTAGAGATTTTTCAAGTTAGTATCCATCATGGAATGATATCATTTGGTGGAACACTGGAAACCTGGGTGCACTGGACAGCTATTTTGTCCTAGTATGGGACTCTTCAGCAGTGTGCACCCACGACTCCACCAGGGGTTGGACCCACAACCTTCCGGTTCCGTGGCCACCACGTTACCATTGAGGCAGCCACTGGCTCCGCGGGATCTAATGGTCTAAATTTTCAACTTCTGTCAGTTCACCACACAGCGCAACCATCACCCAATGTCATCGTTGGGTATCTGTGCTCACGACAACCAGTTTTGCCCTACCGTTGACGACTTCTCATTGGAACTTCGCGAATCACCTCTTGAAGCTAGTCACTAATGAGCATCCCCGTAAATTCAATTGAACTAGTGCTCATTGATGACTAGCTTCGAGAGATAATTCCCAAAGTTCCAATAAGAAGTCGTCACCAGTGGGGCGAACCTCGTGTACAAATCCTCAGCGATGGTATTGGGTAATGGTCGCACTATGTCCTGAAGTGACAGAAGTTGGAAATATAGACGATTGGATTCCACGGAGCCAGTGACTCAGTGGTAACGTGCTGGCCACGGAACCTGAAGGTCGCGGGTGCGCACTTCTGAGGATTCCCTTACTAGGAGGAAACAGCTGTCCAGTACTCCTAGGGTTCCAATGTTCCTCCAACTGATGTTAGTCCATGATGAATGCCAACCTGGAAATTCGCTGGTTGGTTAATACTTGTTTTACTATGTTAATGGCTCAAATTCTGCACAAGATCATACGTCCTGCACGTATACACATGTGTTTTGGGTTATTGAGCAGAAATCTGAGTATGTTTGGCATGCGTTTCACACCTGCGAAATTTAAGCTGATGCTCCAGGACTGGTATACTGCAAGTACTCCCAGTTCAGTGTTAGGGAGTAAAGTGGTGGAATGTGTCGACTGCTTCACTTACTTCGAGAGTTGCATCAGACTGAACGGACTAGTTGGTGACGAAGCCAGGTGAGATACATGGAGCCCGTTTAGCATTTGCCAACTTGCGCCATATTTGGCGTCGGGGAAATTGCATGAAAAGTACTAGGTTAGACAGGTAAGTCGGCTGATGAGGTTGTAAAGCTTCGTTAACTAAGATATCTTAAATATGTGTTGCCTATGTCAAGCTATCGCCTAACTCGACATTCTATGTTACTGTAAGTTGGATTAGGTTGTAAGAGGGTTTAGGGTAGCCAGACGAAGACGTGACACCAGTCAATGAAGTCCCTGACTGTTGGTCTGAGCTGTTTAGGGTCGCCGAGACGATAGGGATCAGTGGTTGGGTACTCTTGGAGACAATAGCGTACGTGTATTCACTCTTTGGTGTCTTCTAAAGCTTGGATATTCTCCCTAACTGTCATCTTCAAATCTTTTATTCTCTCACATAACTTTGTCTACTTTGGTATCACTCCTTTTCTATCCACTTTTTCTTTTTGTATACTACTGTGAAGTATGGTAAGTCGAGGTGATACACTTGTGTGCAAGGTTCTAGGTTGAATATCTTCTATCTTTCCTTCAAATGGTCACGCTTATAGTCAAGTAGTGCAACAGAGTTTACAGGCTTCCCTGTATAAACTATTCTATTGGGACCTGGGTATTCTTACAACCTCCACAAGTGAACAGAATTAGCGAAGACTATTAATTCCGCCCTAATGTATACTTATAATTTTTGGAGGTGCTTAACATGGATCTAAGTTCATCAATTCGATTATTTTTTCATTAAGAGAAAAGTTTTTTGTCTACTTATCAACTATTGAATATTTCAATCATTTTAGATCTATATTCAGATTTTGTTGCACTAACATTGAAAAAGTCTTTGGCAACAGAAACTTGGCAACATGATGGAGGTATGCCATCAGATTGTAGTCATCAATATTCGGTAAGTACACTTCCTAATGTTTTTTTATCTAGATTCCCTTCAGGTAGAATAAGTGACTATTGTAGATGTTATAGGCATAGGTGACCTACAGTTTCATAGTTTCATTGTTGTATGGGGAAATTACCAAACTATCGAAATAATGTTGATAAAAAACCAATAATCTGAACTAAGAATATTCTTTTCAATAGAATTTCTTCAGGTTCCATAAGCATAAACTACATTTGTACAGCGTGAAATCAAGCCATGTTAGCAGCAAATTTATTGTTATATTATTTATCCCTCGCTTTCATCGAGAGAAAACACATCGGCCAACTGGCTTCCCTAAGGCTTTCATCAACCGGCGTTATTTTGCCTCTCCGATTCCAGCGAGGAATAAGTTTGTTTTTATTTTTTATATATCGTTTGTGCTTTGAAGTTTCTTTAGCGGTTAGATTTGTTTTACGGGGTAGGGTTGCTAGCCCTATGCCCAACCTTCCTTCTCTACCCGGGCTTAGGGCCGAGTAGTAACTAGTGAACTAGTTAACCAGACGAGGTTGTCAGCAGCAGATACATTTTCAAAATGGAGTGAGGAATATGAATTGTAAAGAAATCAATTTTTACTGTAAGGTTTGTAAATAATGGGATGATACATGTATATAATGAATGTTATGATGATGGAGAAAAATCATAACGAATAAGATGACAGGAATCACCAAGTGAGAAGTAATGCTAGGATACGTTCTTTCTAGATGCAAAGTTCAGTTTGATCAACCGTGTAGTGACAGCCTCCGCTGTGTTGAGCAACCGTTGGCCAGCTACACATGGTGTCGTCTCCAGAACACCATGAATGACATTGAAAGCCTTATTAGCATCTATGTGATGTCCTGTGTCAACTGGATGACCTAGGATTGAGCTCTTCACCACTTCCACTTCTCCCTTTTAAAACCAAGCTGGTAAGTGTTCTCTCAAGCAGAAATGCATCTGCCTAGTTGTACGCCCTATATAACATGTTCCATATGAACAGTTAAATTGATGTATGCCAGATGAAGAGCTAATATTATGTAGTGTATCCTTTAGTCTTGGATTGAGCATTTATTGGCTAACTAACTACTGAATAATATGCGAAGTCGACCTGCATATAACATCTTATTGATTACTGTAGCTAAGCTTTGTGATAGAATGTCATTTGCAACATATTCCTTGAATTGTCAGCGTAGAAACAAAGGCTTCTTCTGAACTGTTATCATTTGTTGTTTAGGACCAATGTAGTTGATGTTAGTTTTAATGAAGTTTTCAGGATATCCGTTTTCACTCAAACTATCACATATACATAGTAGTTATTTTGAGTAGAACGAAAAACCTAATTCTATGATCTCACGTTTTGTCATCAAAAAACACAGAAACTCAACAATATAGAAATGATTTTATATAAAGTATATTAACTATACCACTTTGCATGAATTTACTTAACGCTACATCTTTTCAAAGTTCAATTCTATTGAACCTTTTACATTGCTTAATTTTGTAATATTTTACTTTTATTATCCAAAGTTTTCATATAAAATAAATAAAGTAAACGTTATTTGTTGTTGTTTAAATGCTCTAATATGATGTAAACAGTACTGGTACGCGCGCTTATGTAGACGAATGATTAGGTGTACTTGAACTTCGTTCTCAGACTGAAAATGTTTGATTACAATCACTAATTTTAACAATAATTCAAATTTAGAGTATTCTTCTGACCCTATGTTTTACTCTTTCTTTTGTTTAAGATTTGCATACTCTTATATTTTGCTGATAGTAGATTCATAACGTTTTTTTTGTTTCAAGTTGTTATTCATCGAAGACTAACATCAGTTGCAGGAAAAAAGGAAACCTGGGAGCACTGGACAGCTGTTTCCGCTGTTCCGCTGGTCGCGGAACCTGAAGGTCGCGGGTTCGATCCCTGCTGGTGGGGTCGTGGGTGCGTACTGCTGAGGAGTCCCATACTAGGACGAAACAGCTGTCCAGTGCTCCCAGGTTTCCTTTGTTCCTCCAACTGATGTTAGTCTTGGATGAATAACAACTTGAAATATTTCCAAATCTCCACAACCCCCTCAAAAGTTTTTTTGTTGATGAAAAGTGTTGAATTATTCAGTCCTTTGAGTAATGACAGTTTTCAGTTTAGACTACTTGCAAGTAGTTTTTACTGGATCAGATATTAGAATGACTTATTAGTTTATGTTTTCGTCTTTTCATCCATCCATCCAAATCAACATAGGACCAGGCATTACTGTGTAACGATCCGAGTTGCCACACCTCATATCACTACATAAAGTAAAAAGGCAGTGAGGTAAAAGATGAAGATAAGAGAATGCAGTCAGAAGAAATATAAAGTACGAAAGGAGAGAAAGGAAGAATGAGAAAATGGTGAGATTCGGTACAGCGTCGTTAAGATGAGGATAATGTGTGTATACATCTGTGTAACTGACATCGGATCTGAGCCATATTGCCTAGAGTCTCTAACCACTGGTTTCTCTTGCCTCGCAGACCCCAACCGTCTAGTCTGTGTCGCCCTATATGTCTCAACCGAACAGTCAGAGACTTCATGCATTGATGCCATGTTTTGGTGTGGGCACTGTGAGGTTTTATGCAGTTTGAGCCTAGTTCGGGGAAGAATGTGTGACGAGACAGATGGTGGTTAGGCATACGTAATACATGTCTCAGCCATGTCATTTGATGAAGGTTCGCAACCGTGTCAACTGATTTCCCTCTTCTCTCTAAAACTCTACGCCTGACCTCTAGAGATGAAAACCCGTGAAGGACACCATTTGACGACCACAGCTCTTCGGACATCTCACCATACTGGAGCTTTGTTCGTCGAGCGATGTCCGTCAAGGTTTTCATCTCTAGAATAGGTCAATGTGAAGTATTTCTGAAGTGTTCTAGAACAGATAAAGATGGCTGATTTATATTCAGTCAATCGTCTTCATTTTTATGATCAGTGTTAGACTGTGGTACATTTGCTTAAGCGACTGATGATATTCAACCAATGAATCAAGTGTTCTAATCTCTACCTCTGACGAGGCTATAACAATCATTTCTAAATGATAGATTAACATGTGAGTGTATGGATTGAAGATACGAAGAATACCTAGATCGTGGGAGGATTCGAACTAGTGGCCTTCGGGTTACCCGCTAGCGGCTCTAGCAACTGAACTACGATAACCAGCTGCTGATCAGGTCTCAACTCCATTTTAATCACTGACGAGCATGCAAATTTGCTGAGTTGAATTATTATATCACTTTAAAAGAAATCGGTGAGTAGTAAGATGATGCTCCAGGACTAGTCAGCACTATACGTAGCTCAAGAATAGGCAGTGAAGCAGTGGAATGTTACCACCACTTCACGTACTAGTGAAGTTGCGTAAGCTCAAACGAGCTAGTTCCCGACGAAATTTAGTGGGATACAGAAGCCCCGTTCGGCATTTGCCAACTTGTGACATCTGGGCCGCTGAATGGTGACGGTACGTTGCGCTGTAGTCTGTTCTCTTCATCCATACGGTTGCGAGACATGGGTACTGAAAACAGAAGAAATGAAGCGGTTACAGGATTCTGATCACAACTGTCTTCGTAGCATTGCTTACGTTTGGTGGAATCACTGCGTGGGGAATATTGAGGTTGGACGAAGGGTATTAGGCAAGACAGGCAAGTCGATTGATGAGATTATGAACCTTCGTCGGTTGAGATGGCTTGGATATGTACTGCTTATGCCAAGCCACCATCTACCTCGACGTGCTATGATAGTGGAAGAAGTTGAATAGGGCTGGAAGAGGGTTCATGGTAGCCGGACCAAAACGTGGCATCAGTCGATGAAGTCCCTAATTATTTGTCTGAGACGTGTAGGGCAATGTAGACTATCTGGCTGGCATCTCCTAAACGAAAGGCATCTGTGGTTAGTGACTTTTGGTGGCGTAGCCGAAAATTGATGGGAATACGGAAGCTCATTTGGTAGAGTACTGTATAGGTAACTTGGAGGTCGCTGATTTGAATCCTGCCGCCACCTAGCTTTTCAATTATTACCCAGAATCCTATTTTAGTTATCAAAGTAACATTTCAGTTATGTAATGTATTGATTTGAAGTTGAATGACTATCATAATGCAGCGACAATTATATAGATTAGTTATTACATTTATCTAGTGAATTGGTAAACAAAACAATTCTGTTCTCTATTCATGTTAAGTAGTTCAGTATGTTGTTATATTTGACCTTTATTGTATATAAATTTTAAAGCGCAAACATTACTGACTTCATCTTCACTTGAATGGATACATTCTGATTGCGGTTATTAATTCCGTGTGTGTGTGTGTGCGTGTGTGTGTGTGTGTTCATTATTTTGTCCATCTGAACTCAATTCACCATCTTCCTGAAGTCCTGACAACCAAATATGGTTCCATGTTATAACCACTACAACTGGTACTTAAATCGTAAATGGATATCGTCTTATTTATTGCCTCATCAAATGCATATACTTTTCATTTGATTAGATGTTGATGTCACTGGTAAGAATTGAACTATTCAGCTTTAAAAAGTGAGTAATACAGATTAACTTGTAGTCATAGCAACCAGCTCTTATTTAACCGGTACAGTCTATTGATTCGTTTTACTCGTTGTTATCACATTGTTGGACGACCCATCTACCTACTGACTAGTTCCTGCATCACGACACATCTTTTGTTTGTCTGCCATCCTCTCTCTCTCTCTCTCTCTCTCCCTCCTGCAGGATCATAACAGCAACATTCAACTCAAAAGGAAGGAAAGTCACAATCACACAGTGCAACGCCATGTACCTAAAAACAAATACGGATCAAGAGAAGAAGGAGAAATTCTACAGACAACTGCAATCAGTACTAGACAAGACCCCACACCAGTTGACCACATCAAATTTCTAATGGATGATATGAAGACCAAACTGGCAGTGGACAACACAGGAAGAGAACTCATCATGGGTCGAGAAGCACTCGGTGAAATGATGAATGAG